ACTTTTCGTGTGCCGTAGACCGCAGATTGAGAAACACTGCGTTGGTGCACTCGTGCAGCTGTGAAATCGAATACGAAATAATAAAATACGTATAATCAGTGTCACGCAGAGACATTTTAAGAACAYATACAGTTAAAAAAGTCAGTCAYTTGYCCACTCAATTTTTTATTTCTAAAAATTATTTTCACTTATTATAATCACTGTAGTTYAATGMAWWTAAKYAWTRTAAGCTRTTATATAGTTTATGTTATAAATTTATGAATTTCCCTTTGACAACTGCAGTAATATACACCCATCCCACTCGAGGACACAATATGCAATCGCATTTCCTACTTKCTGGGCGCCTCTGCGTATTATTGTCGAGATGTTCGATTTGAACGTCTCGACGGATTGACGCGCATTGAGGTGGGCTGCAAACGATGCTGCTCGATCTAAAGGATAGTGTTTTGTTGAAGCCGTTGTAGGCATATATTTGATTTCCTCTACAATAATACAATAATAATAATAGCTCCAAGCGAAACTCGGAGGGGCCCGTAGGACCTATCGATTTTGGGGACGATGTCACCGGAATTTATTGTTATTACTCTGAGGTTGGAATTATTAAAGTCGAAAGTGTGTGGAGGTGATTAAAATTATACAGTACTTGTGATAACAATAATAATGATATTATTACGTCCGTGTATCGGACACGTTGACACGTACATGAAATTATTATCAGTCATCCGGTGTGGGGTATAATATGTAGGGCGCCGTGCCGATGTGGCAGAAGTGGTCGTTTTGATAACGTCGGCGTGTCACGTAATAATGTTATGATAATTTTTACGATTGACCGGCGGCAGCCACGACTGGTTACAATTCGTTCGTGTACGTATTATAATGTATGATTGCCGCAATGCTGTTTAAGATTATTGTCATTATGTCGTTATAATAATAATAATAATAATAATATCGTGGAACCTACAACGTGTAACAGACGAACCACCGAATACCGAAACCAGTTGTAATAATAATAATAATAATAATAATAATAACAACAACCACGACATTATCATGCCAACGGCACAGTTTTCACGATGACGCTGTTGTGATTATCCCGCGAACAAGAGTTTCGAGATCGCAAGGTTAAAGTGCGTATTAATATACGGATAATAAAGAGACGTCGTGGTCCTGCCGTAGACGTGTATTACCAGGTGGTCCATCCGAAAGGCTCCAGCTGTTAGAGAACATGTTGCTGTTCCGTCTGCCGCTGCTGGTGGTGTCCGTCGTCTTCGTTCTACTGTCGGGCTATGCCAACGTCGGGCGCTGCGACCAGGTCGTGTCCCGGTTCGAGTACAAGTACAGCTTCAAACCTCCGTATCTGGCACAGAAGGATGGATCTGTACCGTTTTGGGAGTACGGCGGAAGTATGTCATTGTTGTCACCGTGTTTCCATCTCTGTTTAATTTTTGTTTTTTTATGTACATAGGTTTCTATCTCGATTAATTGATTATTTCCCTCAGTGAACGATTCATATAGGTACGTCTGATCACGTTATGTTGAATGACGAATCCTAGAATGGCTTTATTAACTTTACGYCAAACCGATAGCTGGTAATAATTGTACAGTATGCTTGCACTCGAGGAGCTATTGAAATTTGTTTTGAAATTAACGATTTGCACTTAGAATTTTAGCAATAAAAAAATATCAGATAAAAATCTTTTATAACACWCTGAGCTTACTCATCTTGAAGTGATTGTAAAAAATAACAATAATTTTAAACCACTTTTTTTACCCAAAAGATCATTTTTAATTCATACAAACTAATGAATATTAGAAGATATAGGTATGTTTAATACATTTGGTTACCTTCCTATTACATATTTAAAATATTCATTCATAAGTATATCAAAAGTATCAAAAAAGGAGGTATGTATTTACATCTTAAAATACTCTCCAGAGTGCTTTATTTCTGAATGCTTTATTTGAAATGAGAAGAGTTTGAATCAATTATAAATCAATTATCCGTATGTGAATTTGATTTAATATTTGTTAATAACTTATTAGGAGTTAGAATATTAAGAAGAATTACCCAACAGCAAATTTAGACTTAAAAGTGTTATTTTATTTTATTTTATTTTATTGTTTTTATATTTATTTATTTTTGTTTTTTTTTAGATGCTATTGCCAGTGCAGATAATGTTCGAATTGCACCATCTTTAAAAAGTCAAAAAGGTTTGTTCTTATTCTATTCATTATGATACTTTTATATTTTCATTTGCATACTACTAGTAGCATTATTACTATAGGTTTATTTGGTTCCATCAAATGTTTTATTAACTATAATATTACTATTTAAATATTATGTRAATTCACATTAAATGTTAATAAATGTATGGTCTTAAATGCATTATCTTATTGGTTGTTATAAACATGATCTAGGAATATTCTAAGAAATTCATTTTACTAAATTTATGTATTTTATGCTTGGAAATATTATGCTACAAATAGTTGTAGTACAAACCTTTTCTAGCGATTTTATTATACAATGGTAAATCAAACATTTTTTCAATTAATTCTTTTTTATTACAAATTTAATTAATCTTTCATTCTATGATTTACCTAATGACTAAAACTTATTTTATAAGACTTTTTTAAATAGTATAGATAAATCTCAGAATACATAAATAAAAAATAACATATATATCTAAAATTAAGTATGGGAGAAATATTTGGTTTTTGTTATTGATTGATTTTACTGGATTTGATTAATAATAATATTTTGCAGGTGCAATTTGGACAAAAAGTCAAACTAAGTTTGATTGGTGGATAGTTGAAATAAATTTTAGAGTCAGCGGAAGAGGTAGAATTGGTGCAGATGGCCTGGTACATATATTACAATATATTATTATTTATTATTATTAATATTATTCATAATAATATTTAAATATTATTTTAAACAGGCATTTTGGTATACATCTTCTAAAGGTGACTATAATGGTCCAGTATTTGGTAGCTCCGACAAATGGACTGGATTGGGGATATTTTTTGATTCTTTTGATAATGATGGCAAACACAATAATCCATATATTATGGGTGTAGTAAATGATGGATCACAAATTTTTGATCATTCAAAGTAAATTAACTAATTCATTTAGGTATGATATAAATAATTTATTTACCATGTATTTTTTTTTTTTTTTATGGATCTACTCAGCAGTTATCCGGATGTTTGAGAGATTTCAGAAATAAACCTTTTGCAACAAGAGCCAAAATTGAATATTATATGAACACATTA